TCATCCATGAAAATAAAAACAGTTTCGTAGTAATAGAACACGCGTAACATATGGAAAAGTAACTAGCCACTGCAYAATATACAGCACGCTCAAGTTAATTTCAACGAAAATATTGATCCTATAGAATAGAATAGAAGCTTCATTTATGTACATGGTAGCAAAAATTGCTAAATTGCGTACAATACTAATTAAAAAAAATGTGATAATGATAATATTAATAACAATAATAAAACTATAATATACATTAACTAATTGATTAAAAGACTACTATATACAATGTAAGAATTAGACTAATTAGAATAAAAGCACTATATAAAACCTATAAAGTTCTAGACGTATTTCACGATGCAACCAAGTGTTTGACTACTGAGGCGAAATTCGCAAACCGGCTATTACAAAGCTTGATGTCGATCTAGCTGTTTGTAGCAAGATAGAAACTCTAGGGATTAACACCTTTGACACTTTGGCACTGCATCTTTGCAGTATGATGTAATCGCACAACATTCGCACCATTTCAAACATTTCAAGAAACGACTTTCCAAAACATCAGACACGGATCATATCTCCTCGATTGCACTTACAAACGAAGGAAAATGCTCAATACCTTTCAAAATTAAAATCCGTGAAAAAGGGCACTTCCGTCGCGAACGGAGAACTGGTGTTTATAAATGAAGCAAAGGGTTTGTTGACAATGAATAGTGTTAATGAGGCWAGCAAATAATTTATAATCACAATAATTGTTAGTATTGACTTTCACTGTTATATAACTTTTGTACCTTTCGATGAAATCTCTGAATGCAATTCGTGCTGGGAAGCCTTGTTGACGCATGCTCACAGTCTCCATGACACCGCTGTATCTCAACTGTGCAGTGACCAAGTCATCATCAAACTGSTCGGGTTCAAGTGCTTGGTTGGGACGAATGCAAATCACAAAATGGAGCTCACTTTTCAAATTTCTTTGCATTAAATCTGAGAGGGAATTCTAAAATGGAAGGAAGATATCCTAGACTATATATATTTTACTTTGAAAGTTGCATACAATCAATGTACCTATCATTTTAAAGAATCATAACGAACCGCCGCACCTTGCGCGCTCGTATTATTGTTTACATACGTTTAAATGCGTCAAGCATACAATAGATTATAGATTGATAGTACCTGTGTGGTACTTGGTTAAAGGTATTTCTGTCCAAACTGAAAGGACGGAAGACGATTAGCGCTTACTTTAAGAAATCCTACGAATCCACCATTTTCGTTTCCACCTAAAATCGCGCTTCGTCGCGTCTCGCAAGGTACGGCGGTTGGTTATGATTCTTTAACTACAGAGAGAATTCCGGTATACTCAGGACCTGGTATAGAGGGTTTCACTGTATACAATCTTCCTAAAACAGCGTCCTGCCCATGAATAGAATAACATTTTTTTATTGTACTTGTATGCATTCTCGCGCAATGACTGGCTGAATAGTGTGTGTCAATACGACTGCTTCGGTGGGTCCACTTGAGTTTTGAACATTTTACGACGTCAATAAGAGAGTATATAGCATCAAACCGTAAACAATTTGTTACATATACTTTAGACAAGCAATGAACAACACATTCTCGTGCATTGTGGTCAAATAAACCACGCGGGATGTTGGGAGAACACGAAAGAGGTTTAGGCGAGAGATTTTCAGCATTTTGAGTATTTTCCCAATATCCCAAGTGTTTTATTTCACCAGGACTAAATGCACGAAAATTTCTTATATTATAAAATTTTCACATCTGCGCTTTTACCGGTGAAATAATAACATTTGACCAATCAGAGAGCGCGTTACGTACTATGAAAGCTATAATATAAAAGTTGATAACACACGGATTTTCCGTTTTATTATAAAGAAATATTGCGTGTTCCCAAGTGCGATTTTCTTTAGCTCTCCACGATTTTGAGACATGCGATGCTATATGCAAGTTTCTAGATTTCAATTTATTTTTCATTCTTACTCGAAATCGAGACGTCAAAGTTAGGTGAGACTGTTCTTCTATCATTTTCTTTTTAGCCACTTTATTATTTGTAATTCCATGGATGTTCCCTATCCTGTTGAAGGAAAAATAATTAAAAAATAATCCTGAATACCGACACAATAGGTGCGTTATTACAGTTATACACCTATTTGAAAAAACTTTGTCAGGGAGAACGGCAAAGGCCATGCAATTGTCCAAGGGAGTCTACATGATCAGAGGGGACTATGAACAATTTTTTTCTTCTTGGACACATTTTGAATGCTATTTCCCACCAATTAG